CTGTGAATGTTTTAGAATTTGGCGTTTCAAACTGCAAATACTACTAAAGATGCATATTTTCCATTTAATCTGGAGTATATGGATCCCCAGATGAAGGGACTATGAACTGTAATCACTCTTGTTTAGGAAAGATCCAGCCTATCCCTGTGCATATTGAATAGACCTTTCACAGGACTGGAAAAGTGTTTGGGGCTCCACCTGCTGGGCCCATGGAACTCTAGTGTTGAGGATATGACTATGTTTTAGAAAACAAATTAAATCAGTGGAGTTGGGAACAAACAGTCCTTCCCAAAAGGGCTGGTAGACAGAGACATATGTAAAAATGATTCACAACGACTTTAGCATGAGCAGCTTTCAGTTCTTTCAAACCAAGAATGAAGTCAGCTACACAAAGAGACCCTTGGCAAACGCCTGATGACTGGTCCATGCCTGTGATGCTGTCACAGACAGGAATCATCCCATTTGAAGAGGAAGGCTTACTCAGTATCTGTGGGAACATCTCAGCAATTTTTATGTTGTACTTTTTATGAACAGATAAAATGCTGACTAATGGCCAAACTAGGAGGAAGGGAAACAATGAGCAGTCTTCTGATTTATCCTGTTTACCCTCCAAGCCAACTGCCCACTGGGTAGTGAAACAGTTTCCCAAGAACTTCACAGACTGAATTCCATGCCAGCGGCCCATCATGAACATTGCCGGTGATCATGGTGTGCACTACCACGTACATGTAATGCCTTTGAAACTGGGGGCCCGAAAAGAAAGAATGTGCAGTTCTACTAGAAAGTCTTACCTATTAATGAAATTTAAAAACAGGCAAGAAGCACATAAGTACCATACGCGTGGTATTCATGTCATTTCATGTTGTCTATATTCAAGGCAAACTCAAGAATACTCTGCAATTTTTTATGAAGGTTCTCGTGATACAGAAAAGTCTTGAGCTCCCAGAATGCTCAGAGGATGGGGGATTCTAGTTGACTAAGATTTAAGATAACTCAGTAGTAAAAGAATAAAAAAGAAAATCAATACTTTCAACTCTATTTTACTTCTCTTCATTTACTTTTCTCTCTTTATCTTTCCATATTTCTCTCCTTTTTATATGTGTTTTATCTTTTTTCTGTATTGTCAAAAGTAATATAGTGGGGCCTGAATCGTGGGTTAGTGGGTTAAACTGCCACCTGCAACACCAGCAGCCCTAATTGTCACTGGTTCTTGTCCTGCTTTTCCACTTCCAATCCAGTTACCTGCTAATGGCCTGGGAAAAGCAGCAGAAAATGGCTGAAGTGTTTGGGCCCCTGCCTCCCTCATGGGAGAGCCTGGTTCCTTGGCTTCCTTGAGGCCATCTGGGGAGTGAGCTAGTGAATGGACGATCTGTCTCTACTCTCTCTCTCTGTTAACTGTGACTTTCAAATAAATAAATAAGTAAATCTTGACTAAAAAATATAGTGACCTTAAGATGAAAATGTTGATGTCTTGGATAATATAGTTCTTTTTTATGATTATGAGCACAAATTGTTTTAGAGCAGGGGAGAAGGTGGAGAGGCTGGGTGTTCAGATTCACTTGCCTTCACGCCCCATCCTCACATGCAGGAGCAATAAGTTTGTCATTTCCTCCAGATTCTGAGGTTGTACAGCTATGACCTGCTGGCATAATCCATGGTGATTATCCCCCAAAGCAGGTGCATGCACACACACACACACACACACATACACACAGCATTCCCATAACTGTTAGGATGGGAGATCTAGAGACATAGAAGTGATAGACAGACCGATGGTCAGACAAAGCAGGCAACATGGTATTCAGGGACAGGGGAGGCTTCGTTGAGTTTTCTTCATGTTAGCTAAGCTGCAGATTTCAGATTATTTTCTCATTACAAATTTTCACCCAAGCCAAGGGGGCAACACTAAATTCTAATTAGTGTCTCAGTAATTGCAGTTACTTGGTTATGGATAATTAAAATCTTATTGTGAATGGTCTAAAGCCAGCATTGAAAGTAAGAAAAAGCCTCTCTTCCTTTGCTTACGTGAGCACCCTGGGCCTCCGGGGCGCGCTGGCCTCTAGGCTTTCCTCCGCATCGCCCCCTCTTCTTCCCCTGTCTCAGGTCTGCAGGGAGTTCCAACGAGGGAACTGTGCCCGGGGAGAGACCGACTGCCGCTTTGCACACCCCGCAGACAGCACCATGATCGACACAAACGACAACACCGTAACCGTTTGTATGGATTACATAAAGGGGCGTTGCATGAGGGAGAAATGCAAATATTTTCACCCTCCTGCACACTTGCAGGCCAAAATCAAAGCTGCGCAGCACCAAGCCAACCAAGCTGCGGTGGCCGCCCAGGCAGCCGCGGCCGCGGCCACAGTCATGGTAAGTGCGGCGGCCTGCGCGCCCTAGCACCTGCCGTCCTGGCGCGCTCTCCCTCTGCCAGGAGCCGGCTGCTTCTAGGGCTAGGACTTAGATGCTCTTGGAAGCAATTGGGACATGTGGAAGGCTGCTACTCCTGCTGCTCCGCTGCCTAAGTTTTGTTGTTGTTTTTCCCTTTGTTTTTGTTTTGTTTTCCCCTCCTTCCCTTCTTCAGCACAATAGATAAATCCCTCAGGCGCAGGGAAGCAGATGCGGGCTGTGGGCTCTGTCTGTCCCTTCCACTTAGGCTATGAGACTGCACTGAGGGTCTTTCTGAGAGAGGTGGAGCCCTGCAGCTGACCCACAGACAGCAGTCCTGAGAGACTCCTAGCAACAAGTGACGGAGCGGTGACTGGCTTTTCTCTTTTCCTGCTTTCTCCCTCTTCTCTTATTTATCACAAGGGCAGTTTTTGTCAAACTCTACCCCCTCCAGTGAAATTTTACATAGAATGGCATTTCATGAAACACAAAAATAGAAGGCTGGTGCAAAACAAAGGAAAAAAAATAAATAAAGACCTGGACCCTGGCTTGCCTCCCTTAATTACCCACAGCCCTTAGAGAGCAGCAGCAGCCCGGCTGCCACCACCTGGGAGCCCATTACCGCTCCAGATGCTCAAGGAGCCTATCTGTCCATTAGGACCTCAAGTTCCATGGTTACTGCCACCCAGGAGCCTGCTGGCCCTCCGGAATCTAGGGCCTCACCCCAGACCTTTGCAATCAGAATCTGAACTTTAAAACATAGCCGTTAACATCTCAGAAGCACCTACCTAGGACACCACTTCCCAAATTTAGATAATTTTGGGATTTCATTGAGAGGCATTTAAGGTATTTGAAGAGTCTAACAGGATGAGTTCCTTTCTCCTGGTTTTCTTATTTAATTGGCCCGGGTGTGTCTTGGACAGTGGTATTTCTTTAAAACCCCAAACAATCCCTGTGTACAGGAAAGATGGAGAATCACCGTACTAGGCTGTAGAAATTTCTAAGTAATTTGTTTTAATGTGAGATCTCTGGCTTATCACAGCTACTTTAATATACGATACACACTGTGCATTCATTCATTCAAATCATTTAGAAAAAGCTGCCGTGCGTCAGGCACGAGCTTGGGTAGAATAAATACATTAGGCTGCCTTCCCTGCCCTCGAGGAGCCTGGAGTTTGATGACAGCAACAATGCTTCTTACTGACAGGATGGAAATACGTGGTACAGTCCAGTGGGGTGGGAAGGACTCTGTGGCCTGTGTTTCCTTGGGAAGGACAAATACAGCTCCAGGGAGGAAAGTCATTGTTCAAAAACACATTGTTCTAGTGACCACCACCTTGTACACTGAGAACTGGTGGGAATGGAACAGTGGCGAGCAAGTTCATCATTGCTCAACCTTCTTCTCAGAGACGTGCATAAAGGCACAGGCTTGTGATGAGTAACAGGGATACAGCCAGAGAGAAACAGAGCCTGCCTCCAGGTTTTGGTCAGAGAGAGCTTTCTAATCCAAGCTTATCTCCAGGCAGTTTGAGAACTGCATTGTTCGTCCATCTCACTGTTTTCCTCTGAGGTCTTTACTGTTCCTTTAGTTCCTTTAATGTCTTTTCAGTGTCCCTTCCTCTTCTCATTCTCATTCTCATGTCACTGGACACAACACTGGTTCTCCTGAGTGCATGGATTTCTACACATGGAGGGACACATGGATCCACACAAGAGAGTCAGGAAAAAGCGGGCTTTCCCTTTCTTTGTTATAGTAAAAGAGTAGTTTCCAAAATTCACTACAACTGGGAATAGGGAGAAGAGGAAGGAAGCGGGGAGTAAAGTGATCACGTAATGGTGATGAAAAGGAATTCTTTTAACGGGTAAATGAGACCCTGTATCCATTTGACCAGAGTGGAATCCATCTTACTATCCATTTAGTAATGATCTCATCCCCTGAGAAGTAAGATTGCTTTCAGGCCAGCCCCAACTTATCCTAAATGGTGTGTTGGTTGCTGGGCACTAAGAATACATTTTTTCCCATAGAATTCACATTATAAATCATATCTACATATTCAGGAGAGCCCCAAGGATAGTAGGGACTCTATCTGCAAGAGATGAAGTAGCTTAAATGAAGAAGTTTGCAGTGTTTGATAAAGAGGCGGAGAGGTAAAACAGGGCCCAGATGCAGGACCTTGAAGACTAGCAAGCCTCTCTCTTCTTTCTCTTCCCTCTGTCTCTGGTCAGCCACCTCCATTCTCTAATAGTAGCTTCTCTACATGACACAGACCATGGCTTTGCACATATGCAGTGACATGTTCTTAACACCTTTAGACAAGGAAAAAGTTAGTATCTTCTAAGTTAGCTCTAACTAGGGAGAAAAAAAAAAAAAACAATTACCAGTCATTTTTGTGACCATGCCTGTAGTAAAACTGATGAGAAACTATGAACGGCTCAGTTTGGGTACCATGGTTTCTGGTCACTGGGGTCTGAGATGACTAGTGCAAGCACAAGTCCCGGTAGCTCAGATCCCTGTTAATACAATGAACCATGGTACTAGGAGTGCCCGTGGGTGCCAAGCCTGATTTTATCTGCCTGTTTCTTAGACAATCATGTGTAGATCTGCAGTCAGTCTATACCTGATCACTGAAGGAACACTGCATCTCGGAGGTGTCAGTGGTAGATGACCTAAGCTGGCGGGAGAAGAGCAGGGATGGCCATCTGTACAAACAGCTCATTGCCCAGCCTCCTGGCTTCCCGTCAGAGCTGTGCGCCTTCACACGTCACCACGGTTACAGCTACCGTAGCTTCTGGATTATTACACCATGCCCAAATTTGGAGTTCTGATAAGTCACAGGATCTCCTGCATCTTCAAAGACAACCCAAAGGAACATCGTTTCAGAACGAAAGCCAGTGTCTTTCTGACAATGACAGGAAAATTACCAAGTCTGTCCTGTCTGTTTGGTTGTAGTGAGAGGCTCACTTGAAGCCAGCCAAGGTGTAGATGGACAAAGCCAAAGTACCCTTACTCTAGTACCAAGACTACTCAGTACATTGGAGAATAACTATTATTTCCTTATTCAAAAGGGCAGTGGGAGTGATTATTGCAGTTAGAAGATATTAATGTTCCACTCAGCTGAACCCAGCACACTCCCATAGTTCAATTTTATTATCATGGACTATCTGTGAATTCCCTCCTTAGTTTTGCTTGATTAGACCCTAAAAAATAAAAATTATAGTTTTGACTCTAGAAAAAGAGATATTTACTTTCTGCAGAAACTTATTCTATCCTATTACCTCTTAATATATAACCTCGAGACTCACCAGAATTTTTAAAATGTAGCAGCCAGACATAGCTCCCTGGTGATGTTTGAATCCTCGTGTTAGCTGTTTTTGTTCACATAGACCAAAATGGGAGGATACAAAGAAAGGACTACTCTGCAAAAGGAAGTGGGACAACCTGCCACCGGCTAGATAAGTTTCCATTGTTCAAGGAATGATGTACAGGAAGTTTGCTTTCCATGTTACTTGTCCACATCCTTTTATTCCATTTTAAATTGACAACTGTTTGCTGTCAGTGGGGTCTTCCGACCCCTTGGATTTTGTCTTTGCCCGTAATGCCTGGCATTGGTTTCCTTGCCTTGACCTATACTTAGATTGCTCCCCCACCCAGAAAAAGAAAAACCTGGATTCACATACGGTCTCCACTACTCACCCACCCAATTACACAAAGCTGGAGGGGGCTCAGGAAGGGCAGAGGATCAGAAATGTTTCTGAGGCCAGCAAGAATGATGCCAAGCGGCTGGTGCACAGTAGTAACTCATTTAACATGAAGCTCTTTCTTTGCACTGGTGTTTAAAACACTTGGCGATCTCTAAAGTCTGTTCTTTCAACATAGCTAAATGTATGTCATCAAACAATATCATCTAAAACAGAACATCTGTGTGCCAAAAAGCTGCTTTATTACATGATTATTCATGCACACGAATCTTTAAAATATATTCTGCATATGTGCTTCACAGTGTGGTGGGTACAAGATGTTGAAATATATATATATATATATATATATATATATGACCTATGTCCCAAGACCTCAGTGTTTACTTGAAAAGAAGATATTTGCATCTAATAAAAAATTATAGTGTGAAAGAGACATACAATCACTGGTTCACTCACTATACGTTTTTCAGTTTCTTTACATTCCTAGATTTTTCTAAGTTTTATGACCAGATGAATTCTAAACTAAGAAAGGAAAAAAGAGAACAGTAATCTTCCCGTGACCACTTTATGGAGAAGCACTAATATTTCTTATTCTACGTGGAGGCTGCATTAACTAATGTCTTGTTAAATCAAAATTTTGCTGATTGATGGCAGCTTTAGGAAACGTAATCACTCTTACAGTCAGCATTCCAGAAAACATCCACACAATAGCAGTGTGATTCTACAGAGACTTAAGGGCAAAAACGTGAAGGGAAAAACTGAATCTGAAAAGTTGAGGCCAACATTATCTTGAGTTAAGCCATCCAGTCATGTTCTCAGTGTGATCATGACAACAGGCAATGTAGACCCCTTTAGCTAATACAGACTAATTTAAGTTTAAAAAACAAAAAAGACAAGACAAAACCTTACATCACTTAATGTAAAACTGCAGAGATGAAAGATTTTAAACCAAATAATGTGGAAGTTCCATGATGCTGGATTTACATTTGAGAAAAAGAATATTTAGTACATGCAGGCTTTCTTATTGTCAAGCTCATTGGGACTTTTTTTTTTTTGAAGTTTACAGTTTCACAATGTTGGCTTCATATTTTTGATGGCCACTGTCAAAACTACCTCCCAATCCATGTTCTTCTCCCTTGGCCATCCTCAGTGCCTTCTACTTATATTCCTTACCACTTGATTTCTAGTCGCTCTTCCTCCCCCACCCCTTGTAGCTCCTGACCTGTCTCCTATTGACTCCATGCTTCTTATCATGAATCATCAAGTGATGATGGGCTCCTTTTATTGGCCAAAGAAAATATAATTGTTTCACATTTTTGAGAATTCAGTAATATCATGTCTTATCTCAAATATCATAATTCTACCGCAGAAGTCTAGAATATAACATTTGTATTGATTAGACAAACCTTGGGGATTTATCTATTGTGCTAAACATAGAAAAGGGGTATTTCATTTTTTATTTGCATTAAAGCTATTCTTTTGAATTTCTTTATTTTTATAGAATTCCATCATAGAATGTTAGGGTTTTTCCCCAACAATTAACAAGAAATAGGAAAATTTTTTATTGTGGTCTAAATCAATCCATATTTGTTATTATTTTAGCTGTTTAAATGAAACTATCTTCCCCAGCATAAAGCAATAAGATATTATTTTATTTCTAAACTTTCAAGCAATTCTTTACTATTTTTAGCTGTTTGCTATTTTTAGCTGCTGAACTTGTTTTAGTCAAGAGTCCCACTTCTCAGTAACTGGGTTGGTCACTGACTATAGCTAAAAGTACAAGTAAAATTATCAAATAGAATTATTTTGACACCTGAGGACACTAAATACCTTTAAAAAGGGTATTTTCTTAGTATAATCCGGTAAGTTTTTTGAGATAAATTAAACTATAATTTCAAATGTAGTAGAAAACAGAATGGATGATAAGTTAGTCATCAGAATCAGAATGATGGAATAAAAGTGAGAATTCTGGAAACTCACTATCTAAATTCACAACATACAAAGTCTAGAACCTCAGTGGTCATTGCAAGACACTAGCAGAGTGAAGAAAAGAATTGAGACAATTATCCACATGATTCAGACAAAAAATAAAGATCCAAACCCAAACAGTTTTGCCTAAATAATCTTGTGTTTGAATATTTTTTTGCCTGAATTGTTTTGTCTCAGTTTGCCCCTTCATTTTGTTAGGCTAGATCTAAATTTTAAATATTCTTATGAAATTTTTCAACTTGGACTGTATGCATTTATTATTTTATATTTGAAAACTAACTTATCAGAAATTCTTCAAACCTATGGCCCTTAAAAGTTTTGCATTTTTTTTCTGAAGCAATATAAAAATGCTTATGGTGTGTATGCAAGCTGCTGTTTTAATTAACTTTCCTGAATTTCAAACATCTATATTTTACTCTCTTATATGCTTTTAACTAAGGTATGGTAGATGCATTTTTGCTTCAATACTAATTTAAGGTGTAATATTCATTTCTTTAGAGAACATTTTTGTTGTTGTGCATGCCTAGTGTTTTGTACGTTGTATATTGCATTCAGAATATTTTTTTCCTTCTCACCTATCCACAATGCAATGCCGTTCCCATGATGCACCTCTGCTTGCTGTTTACCTGTATGTTAATTCGCTTGAATCCCATTGGCCCACTGCCATCATGTGCTCGCTGCCTGTTATTAAAAGACTCAGTCGACTGCCAAAGCAATGAAGCGACCTCTCGAAGCAACTGTAGACCTGGTACTTTGACCTTTCACCTTTCGCTTTGCATGTAGCTTTTCAGAGAACCATCTGAGATTTGTATTGTAAAATACTGGTTGCCAACAATCATTATTATTAATTTATGGAATAAATTCAATAAGGTGTTTAGCCATCTCATTTTCATATGTAATCTGTGAAATAAATTAATCCTAACAAATTTTAATACCTTTTCCAAAAGAGTGAAGCAAATTTAAATTACTTGGCACAGAAAATGCTCATCATAATTCTTATTAACCTTTAAATTTAAGAAATTGCCATTTAAAGGAAAGAATAGGTATTAATAATAACACAAATGCTTCTTTTCCCCCTTAGAATAGTTTAACTCATTTTAAAAGCTGAAGCCATTTTTTTGTTGTTGTTTTGCTTGATAGTTTTTCTTTTCCTTAGTTGAGATGCTACCGTTTTTGGGTTACAGAAATCATGCTTTCGCTCTCAATAACAAATTCTCACTCATTCGACATTGCCGCTGTTTAAATTAAGGTGCATGGCAGAGGCATCTCCTTAGCTGTCATTTTAAAAAAGAATGTTGCAATTGATGATCTCTGTGGACACGGAAGGTGTGTTTACTTTAAGTTAGACATATCTTATCGAATTCTTCATTTCTAGGCCTTTCCCCCTGGTGCTCTTCATCCTTTACCAAAGAGACAAGCACTTGAAAAAAGCAACGGTGCCAGCACGGTCTTTAATCCCAGCGTCTTGCACTACCAGCAGGCTCTAACCAGCGCACAGCTGCAGCAGCACACGGCGTTTATTCCAACAGGTGCGTGCCCTGACCGTCCACGTCTGTGTCCTCGTGCCCTTCCGGTCATGTGCTTTCTTCTCATTTCTTTAAGCTGTTTGGTGGCACCTAGTTTGCTTTTAAAGGTACAATACGGCCTGAAATTCATCACAATCCTAGCTATCTAGATTTATTGACCTTTCTTTAAATGATGGCCTAGGACTGTTAGGATTCTAAAGCCAAATATTTGACAGAGTTAAAGTGACAGGTTTAACCCATGAGAAACAGACAGCAGTGAGGGCATTTGGTTTCCTGTATTTACAGAAGCTCTGTAAAACTGTTTATGCACATAAGACCTTATATGTGTGTCAACTGAAATTTCTCCTTAACTCTGAATGCCCTAAAAATTCCAGTACATACTAACCTTTTTTTCTATTTCTATTCAGATCACTAAAAATGAGGCTACACAAATTAAAGTAATCCTCTACTCATATTTTTATATCCATTCTATCTCTTTCTCCATCCTTCTCAATTTTCACCAAGTTCACAAATATAGAGAGCTCTTGTCCTC